TTGGGAAAGAGGCTGGGGAGATGTGCTGAGGAAGGGATGCTCAGCCATCAATACGTGGGCTTACACGCTTGCTTTGAGGTGTATTCTTTGTTGCTGAGGACCTGATTTCATTATTTAAATGCACAGTGCTATAAATTTGGCTTTCCTTTGCTACACTGGTACTTTCATTATTATTTTTTCCTTACATAAAGACATCTTTAAATTTGCTAAATGCTTTATAAAACATTTCTCTTTCAGTGTTGGGGTCAGAGTTAGAATGTGCCATCCTTACTGTTTGTCAACATGGTTGTTGGGTTAAATGCAAAACCCTCTATGATGTAGTTCATGAGAATAACACAAACTCGGTAAATACTATCCTTTCTTCAGAAGAGTATATTAAGGAACAGGTGAAGTGGACAGTATATGCTTACAAAGTGGAGCTCACCCAAGGCCCAAACTGCACCTGGGGGTCTTGATGTTCATGTGCCTCCTGCCAGGCCCTGTATGTCCCCTCTGTATGCTGCTGATGTTTTGGGCCAGGTGGCTGCACACCCTTATATGACATACCCTCAAAATGAGACTGGAGGATTTTGACTTTAGAATGATCTAAGAGATACTTAAATTCTCCATCTAAACTTAGTACTAATATGATTTTCAACATTTCATTTCTTTATTTTAAATAAATTAATGGTCACCCCTATCTAAACTATTCCCTTGTCTGGTCCTTAAGTACACTGTCATAGCTGTAGGAAAAGCCCACCTTCATTTTCTATGGTTAATATCAACTTCTCTGTTTAGTGCTAATTCGGTGTACATGGCAGCCAAAGGTGCCCTGCCCCTTAGGGTACAGACAGGAGTCTTCTGCAGTGGCTGAGGCAGCTTGCTGAGGGACAGGCCCTGGAGCTGTGGGAACCTGGCAACGGACTGAGATAGAAGAGGTTTGCAGGACCTGGAGTTGGGAAAAGAGAATACAATTAAGCAGCTAATACAAGGGAATGGGAGATGGAAGGAGAGGTTCTGGTTCAATCTAGTTAGCCAGAGGATTTTTATTTTTATTTTAAAAATGTTTAAAAATTTTTTTTTGCTTAATAAGCAAAAGGAATAATTTCAACCTTTCCCCTCAAACTTGATAATTGCTTATGGTGGATGACTATTCAAAATTTGATATTTTAAAAAACTTTCTGAGCTTTTAAAAATAATGGCTATAAATGCAAAGTACTATTGATAATAAAACCAAGTTGTTTATCCATGTACAAAAAAGGTCAGTAATGTTTTAAAAGCACAAAGTTGCATTTTAAATCACAAATTGCATAGTTCTAAAATGCCTAGATAAGGGTTACATAAACTTTTTAAGAAAATTCAAGTTTGGCTGATAGTAGGGCCCAGAGCTTGATGGAGCAGAGCAGTTCAGGCTGGAAGCACTGTTTCAATGTGAGTTATTGCATTGTTGCTGGAATGTTACAATATCAGGAGACCAAAATTGCTACCATTTCATTATAAATCATTGGCATTTTAAAAACCATCATTCTTTTTTTGGCTAATATAAGATTTGCATGTAGAATTCCACTGAAACTTTCTATATCCCACCCCCAACCAGCACTTAAAGGCCTTAGAAAAGCTCTGTCTGCACTCCTGTGTATAAAAGGTATAGACCTCTTAGCAAAATATGTGCTCCATTTCCTCTCCCTTCCCAGAACCGTGACCAGTTTTGTACAAAATCCTGTTGAAGAATCACATCAAAGATGAGAAGCAGGGAGTTCAAGGTAAACATTTGGTGAAGAGTGTAGAAAATGCCACGAGCCTTCTGTACCCACCCCACAGAAGTCCTGGCTTTGGGTGAATCTGGCCCAGAGGAGCCCCAGGTGGGCACAGCTGGCTGTGGGTGTGGGACAGCCCCTCGCCCAGAGAGCCCAGCCTCGTGAGGTGGTGCTGGTGGCTGTGTGGGATGACTGCACTAGATGAGGGGACAGCCCAAGGGACCTCAGGACCCTGTCCATGCTGCTGTGCGCTGAATTGGTGGGCAGAAAGATGCTTCAGCATTTGGAAGAAGGGAAGAACCTTCCCGGGGATAGGAACTTATAGCCATTAGCAGAAGGGAGTCTTAGGGGGCGTTCGGGTGCTGGGGCGAGAGGGCCAGTGGGCAGCAGCGGGCCCAGCCCTGTAGTCTCAGCGCGCCAGTGGCCGTTGGGAGGGGCTCTGGGAGGCACCTCATCCCGCCGCTGCAGAGACAGCTCCTGAAGTTCCAGCTTATCTGCCCCTTCCTCCTTCTTGTTGTGCCGAGGTGACAAGTTTAGCAGGCTGAACACATCTCTTTTGGTGGCCATAGTTCCTGGAAGCCCTCTCGATGGTTTCATGGGGCCTGTGGAATGCGGGGCTGCATTCTGCCAGAACATCTTTAGGTTGTGCACAGCCTGTACCTTCTCGTCGATGGCTGCCAGCTTCAGCTTGTCTAGGTCAGGAGCATCTGCCGGACTTGAGCATGCAGAGCCTGCTGAGGAGTAGGAGAGTGCAGGTGATGGGGCACTGCCAGCAGGGGATTGGTGGCCGGAGCTTGGCGACATGTTCCGTGGTGACTTGGAAATGTGTGCACTGTAAGGAGAGCTGGGGTACTTTAGTTTAAAGAGTGGCTGATCAGACAGGGAGGCCTGGGAGTCACAGCTGGGGGACGGGCGGCCACTGTGTTGGCTTGGACTGTCTTTGAGGGATGCCTCCGAGGTGGTAGGGCTGCTGTATCCAGAGCTCACCTTGGGCAGGGATGAGCTCCTGGCTGGGGGCTTTGGTTTGACAGTGACTGGGGATGGTTGGCTCTTCTGATGGGATAGCACAGGTCTGCTGAAGGCGCTTGTTTCCGACGCCCTGAAGACAGTGGCACTGTTATTTGGCACTGACACACCATCTTCCCGATTGTGAATCTTGCCCACCTGACTGCCACTCTTCTGAAGACGCTCCACTGCAATAAGGTGACTTTGCGTCTCCTCTAGGATTTTCTGGGCCAACTCCTGGGGATCTAGCTGTGGGGTGCTTTCTTCTTGGGACTTCACTGTGCTGTCTGTCTCGGTGCTGGACTGGTCTGACTCGCCTGTGTCTGAGCTTGCTAGCTTCCCCACCTTTTGGAAGGGTGAGTTTGGGCTAGGGATCAGAGTCATCTTCACTGGGGAATTTGGAGTGCTCATGCTGCCCTTGGAGCTAACTGAAACCTTCACACCTGGAGCTGCCCCAGTGCGGGGCTGCCTGTGGTCTGGGGAGAAGCGTGTCTTTTTACTCTCCTGGTAGGCTGCCAGGGGCTCTGTGCTGATGATGGAGAAACCTTCATATTCCTCCTCTTCTTTGCTGTCGGCAGGATGGGTCTGTGGGGATAACTGGTTCCGCGGCAGGGTAGATCCCTGGGGGTAACTGTTCTTGGGCCTGTCGTAGTCCTGCCGCCCTCTGGGGCCTCCAGCTTCTGATCCCACCTCGGGTTTGGAGACAAAGCTCATGGAGGAAGCGATGGAGCTCAGACTGTACACCGAGATGGCATCAGAGGCAATGCTTTCGGCCCCGGTGGGTGAAAAGGGTGGATGCTGATAGCCCAAGGGCAGAGCATTAGAGACAGACTGGGCTGAGGCCAGTGACTCCAGGGAGGATGAGCTGTCCAGGCTGAGGCGCTTGGGGAGCTCAGTGGAATCTAAGAACAAAGCAGTTAGAATTTTATATAGGTTTGATTTTTCGTTCATAATCACAAACATCTTTATTTGCACAGAAGCTAGCAAGGAATTTCCAAGCACTATGTATCTACAACTCAGAACCCTGCAAATATGGTCCAAGTGGAAAAAAAGTCAGTCTTACATACAGACAAAAGTATCTGGGGAAGCTCATCCATACAGCTCAGACCTTTACTACCAGAGCCATCTCCAGACTGCTGCCTGTCACACAGGCCAGCAGAGGGACTGTGTCTGCCTTCCTGCCTGACCACGGCCTGGGAGCAAGCTGTGGTATCTTTCTCCTGAAACCCCATGCCTCCCACCTCTCAGCTCCAACCACCTGCTCTCCTTTCCAGTGGAAATCCTCAGTTGTATACACTTGCTGCTCTCCAACCTGCCTCTCTCTTACCTCTAAACCTACTCCACTCAGGCTTTTGTCCACTGTCCATACTCAGTGTTCACTGCTCCGTTCTGCAGAAGGACAGCCTGCTCTCAGTGACTGTTCCTGCCCAAGTCACCCTTATCTTTGTGACCCACAGGACACACTCCTCTTCCCCTCTGACCTACAGGGACCCTGCATGCTTCCATGCACATCTCCACACTGGCCTGTTCCTGGATTCCAGACTCAGGGAAGCAGCCAAGTAAGCTGGCACCTGGTCCTGCCAGGCCTTGTGCACCTTCAAAGCACCACAGAGGGAGAGGCACATTCTCTTGCCACATTCTCCCAGTGCCACTGCTCCCCTCTCACCTGTTCACCCTTCCCCACCACCCTTCAGCCTACTGCTGCATTTTCCTTTTCTCTCCAGGACTGTAAGTACTGGAAGAGCTAGGAGCTTTGTTTTACTGCTCTTCAACAGTCCCCAACTCTATCAAATATGATCACTCCTCCTCCTAGGACATGGCTGGGGGCACAGGGTCTGGATGGAAGAAAGGCTCTTACCAAAGAGAGACAGCAGGGACTGGAGCGCAAAGTGCATGGTGCGCCGACTTGCTTGTTTCCCAGTTTTCAGGATAACTTCCTCCTGACCCACCTCACAGAGATCAAAACCTAGAGAAACAAAAGACATACACACCTGCTTCCATGTCCATATGCTGGATGTGGCCAGACTGTGGGCTCCTGGGACAATTACAGGATGCCTGCAGGCTCATCGGCAAGCAGCTAGCACTGGACCTCTCCTGATTCGTCCGTGCCAAGTTCAGGCTGCTTTGCTCAGTAGAGCCCCATCTGTTGTGTGCACGTGCCACTGGCTGGCTCTCTGTGCTTGCCCTGAACCAGGTTCCTGAGAGCTGAGGACCAACTTAATAAGTTCATTAACATTATGTTTTTTCATCTATTAACAGAAGAGCAGTCTACTCACAGACCGTCAGGGATGAAAACTGGCTACTCCATTGAGCACAAAGCCCAGGATTTAAAGCTGGTGTATGAGAAGGTGGAGATTTCTCAAGCACAGGATGAGATCACCCACATGTTCTATGCCTATTGTTACCTGCTCTGGAAGTGAGCTCCTACTGGCCATGGAGGATCTGCTCATTGGGCTGAACTAGCCTACAGGGACTTCACTGCCTCTGCCAAGCCCAGGAGTGCTGCTCCCTTACTCTAATGGCTCTAATGAGACTCAGAGCAGGCACAAGAAAAGGCAGAAAGCTTTCTGAGCAAGAGGCTGGCTAATGAGCTGTTGATACAACAGTTACATAATTGTAAGAGATATTACAGCTAGGAAAGTGGTGTGCCTGTAGTCCCAGCTACTTGAGAAGCTGAGGCAGGAGGATTGCTTGAGACCAGGATGTTCAGAGCCAGCCTGGGCAACACTGCAAGACTGTCTCAGAAACAAAACAAAACAAAACAAAACAACAATGACAAAAGACATTACAGAGGCAGCCAATAAGTATCTCCCCTTGGGAAGAAGCTAGACATGAATGCTGTGACTCATGAGTATATCCAAAGTAGGGGACCACCAATCAAGACTCAGGGGCTGAGGAGTCTTCAGCATTGAAAGTCTTCACTTGGCCTCCTCAGGTCACTGAGCTCTCCCTGAGCCATATGTGAGACCTGGTGCTGGTCTCCCAGGGCACAGGGCACCTGTCCTGTGATCTTGCAATCTTAAAATAACAGGAAGTTATAATACACAATGCTGCTGTTGTTTCTTGACTGAGTGCCTGAATATGGGTGCCAAGGGGGGATCTGCCCTCCCCTTTTCATTCTGATTCAAGGATTGAAACCACTGTTCCCTTTGGAGTGAGGTTCACTGCAAGAGCCATGGGGCATTCTGATTGTTTTGGGACATTTTCCTCCCTGAACTGGAAAATAAACAATCCCTGAAAGCAACAAGAAGGTCTCAGATAATTCAGCATTTAAAAACTAGTAACTGATGATATATATGTAATATTTCTGTTGGAAACCTTTACTAGAATGATTTAAATTGGCTACTGCCCAAGAACTCAGTTGTCTACACCACAGATAGCCTAGTGGTACACTGGGCTGGCTGCTGTGGCCTCACTGAGGATAGGAAGGCCAGGTCTCAGGGCTGTGGAGCCTGTAGGGCACACGTTTCTGCACACACTGCTCACAGCACACTGCACTCCTCCCCACCCTGAGTCCCAGGACTTAAGGACTGTGAGCCTGTGCACATTGCCTACCACAGTCCCGGCACCATAGAAAGCTGTGTTAGATTTCTTGAATCTCATTAGTCTGTTCCCTGTGACACAGCTGGCAAAGGGCACTGGAAACATAAAGTTCAGAGCTGAGGGCTGGCTCCCTCACAGTCACACCACACCCGAGGAAGAGTTAGGCCCTGCAGGAGGGAGCGAGCTCCTCCTTTATAAGAAAGACATAGCTTCATCTTCTGGTTGGCATACCTCTGTCACTAGACCCAGGCTGGCCAAAGGCTGTCACAAAAGACAAGCTTCATAGGCATGGACCTGGCCTGTCTCACTCTGGTCTCCCATTGTTATTGACTACATTTATTTAGCTGTAAATGTGTTTATAACAGGAAGACTACTTAAATACATATAGAACAAGAAAAAGAAAAAGAAAAAGAAAAAAAAAACATGGAGTATACCTACTCAGGGCTTCTTTCCCCCTTGAAACAAATGGTACCAGACCTAAGAGGAGGTGGGCTGGGAAAGGTTACCTAAACATAGGTGAGAAAAGATGGCCTGGTATTGAATACCCGAGGTTACAAGTGGGAAGAAACTTTCTTGTTAAGGATTCCCTGCCCTGCAGGGTCTGATGGCCAGTCACTGCCAGCGAAGTCAGACTGTCATCTGCAAAGGCTGTCTCTGTCTCTCACATTAGAGCCCCAAAGCCAGCTACCTTGTGTCTCACCCGACCCTGCACCACCCTGGGGGTGGCTCCTAGGCCTGGATCTTCCCTCATCCACATCCGGGGGCTCTCAGGGCTGCCTGGCTCCTCCCCTCCTCCAGCCCATCACTAGCCTAGGCTCCTTCACCTTCTAAGGAACTGCTCAGAGGTATGGCATTCATCAGGTCTGTCTGCTTCTGCTAGAATGCAGACTAGCAGGACAGAGTTTTTCAGAAGTCTTTTGGTCACCACCTAGAACACTGCCAGGTATTCAAGAGAAAGCTGTGAAGTGGCTCTCAAGAAGTCTCTGGATGCTTAATGGGGCCTTGTGGGGCATTTAATCAACAACGTGTCTGTCATGAGTAAATTATAATTATGTCAGGAGCTGGTCAGCCATTTTTAAAATGGTGGAAAAGGGACAGTGAGCTTCCTGGACTGAAGCAGGACCTGCTGTGGGCAGACCTAGGTGCCTGTGGTCACACTGCAGGTGGTGTCAGTAGTACTGTTTCCCTGCTTGTTCCCAGAGCCAGTGATCGGGCCAATAACTGAAACTGTTGTTTCATGACTACAACTTTAAGCTTTCTTTAGCTGTTAATCGTGGCTTGACCTCTGACAATACTGGAATCCAGCAGATTCCTAGTAAGATGATGTGTTCAGATGAGAAAGGGGACATCATAATGTAAGGAAATGGGAAAAATATTGAGGGCCATTGGGCATCATGCTAAAGCACTGGAATCTTTGACTAAATTGTTTTTAAGTAAAATAGTTTCTAAGAAAACACTGAGAAAAGACCCACACAACTCTACCAATTTTACCCAACAAAATGAAAAATGGAAATAAGGAATCCATCATTTCAAGGATGCTGTGTCCTACCGAGAGCCGCCAGGAACTCGTGGCATCCTGGGAGCCGCCATAGCTGGACGCTGATGGAAACCTGAATGGGAGCCGAGGTGAAGTCCTGTTCCTTCTCACCAGCCTGCAGCTGGACCAGCACCTGGTGGAGCTGAGGAGAGAGGACAGTTGTAAGCAGCTGGCTGCCTCATAACTTAGCCCCAAGTAACCTTTATGTCACCTGCCACTGCCATCACTAATGACCCTCTCACCTTCCATGTGTATAGCACTTCGAATTCTTCTTAAAGTGTCATCATATCTACTGTCCTCTCTGTGGGGAGGCCATGGACACCAAAGGCTGAGTGGCCTCCTGGGGCCTGGGTTCTGTTGCCAGCCTTGTGTCTTTCCTTGAGCATAAAGGAGGGCTGAGGAGTAGGAGGAACAAGTGAGGGGACCAATCACTACCCCCCCCCTTTTTTTTACTAATGTCTTAAATGGAAGTCACCTTTAGGATCCTGAGGTACATGGTAAAGAGGAAATCCAACATTATACTTGGAGCCCAAGCACTCAAGGACGAGCCCAGCGGACCTGCTGAGGTGTTCACATGGCCCAGGTCTCAAGGTCTGTGAGCTCTAGCCAGGGGTCTTCCTGGGTTCAAGGTGTCTCTCACTTACTGGTTTCTGTCCCTGCTCTTCTAGTGGAACTTAAAAGGCCAAACCAAGGACACAGAAGGGTTGAATAGGAAAGGGGAGCCAGAGCAGAGGAGGGGACAGGCCCTTGAGCCGGTAGCACTGGGCCCCCAACCTGGAGCTCCGCAGCCCACAGGGTTCTGCCAGACAGCGCCAAGTGCACAGCGAGCTCAGAGCCGCTGGGGGACTCGGGGTGGGTGGGTGGAGGGGCTCACCTGACAATAGTTGCTACTTAAAGTTGTACTCACCATTCCCACCATATTTTTAACAGCCTTCGACCAGCAGATTATAAGAAAAAGAAAGAAAAAGAGAGAGAAAGAAGAGTTTAGACTCAAGCACAGCTGTTATGCACACAAGCTGATTGCTGCCTTAGGAAGCACCATACTGGCCGGCTCTGACCAGAAGAGAGCAAGAGGCAGCAGGACGGATGCACAGGAGATGAACAGCCACCCAGGCTAGGCAAGTCAGAGCACAGGGGCAGGGGCAGCTAGGCCCTACCCTGCCTCCCCAGGGGCAGCTCAAGGGAGGCAGGGACATGGATACAGCAAGGGCTCTTGGGTGACTCCATGGGAGAGCCTCAGGACTCGTCCCTGGGGCTCCACAGTGCTTCAGCCTGAAAGTTTCTGTGCTCTCACTGAAAGCAAGAAATTTAAACAACTGGCTTTTTTGGGCTCTCAGCGTTGGCCTGTAAATGTAATAGTATAATTCTAGCTTTTTCTTTTTATAGAACACAGCTTTCTAGGCCTCCTAGGTTCTGGGTATTTTAATGTACAATATTCTGGAAATATCTTCCTGGTGCTATTCAACAAGAGATGTAACACAGTACAAAATGAGCAGGAACCAAGAAAGGGAATAGTCACAAGGTGGTTCCAAATCCTGGCTAGAAACAACCCTAGGCAGGAGGATACCCTTACCCCTAACCCACCACAGCAGCATCATCCACATGAGAATGTTTCTGACAGACTCTTCACAATGTGTGTTCTCTTCTCAAGCAATTGCAGGGCATAACAACCAGAACAAACTGGTGCTCTTCTAGGGCTGCCCCACCACCCTCGTGTGGCTGCCACCTGGGGCTTAGTGCACACCCTTGCCAGCCAGCAGGAAGGTCAGTCGGGGGGACAGAGAATCTCCAGGACCAAGTTGGAAGGGCCTGCAAGATGCTAAGGAGTAGAATCCTCCACAGCCCTGAATGAGATTCACATTTCCTCACAAAAAACACATCTTCAAAAGCTGCTCAGAAGAGCTGACTGCTCATTACTGTGCCTCAGTGGCTTCTCCTCCCCCAGCGGCTCCTGTGTTTCAGCACAGAACATGCTTGCATCAGAGAATCAGTATTGGAGACTCTGCAACCATCATGGCTGAATGCCTGTGACTTAGGGATGGTGGCTGTGACCCTTGTCAATGAGCTGAAGTTGGGTGGGATGACAAGGTGTAGGATAGCACTGAATGGAGAGTCCAGGAGATGCCTGGACTGCAGGTGACAGGCCCTGTAGGTATCCTGTGAAGGCCCTCCGTGTCCCTAGAGCTGACTTCTCAGAAGGCGCTGCAAGAACCTGTCGTGTAGGCCCAGTACACGCCAGGGAGGGTGGTTCTCCTCCTTGAAGCCCTAACCCTTTTCTCCTAATAATACTGGCTGACAGAAGCAGTGCAACCCACCTTATTCACAGATCTATCTAGGGCCAATGCACACTTTGTCTTTTTAGTCCCACACAGCCCACGGGCTTGGGCTCCACTGTCTAGGCTCCACTTACCCGGCTGATGAGCTGCTCGCCTGTCTCAGAGGCAGTGATGAGTTTGCACAGGGCCTGAAGGGCAGGATTAGGCAGACCTAACCCAAGACAAAGGACAAAAGTTACTCAGAGGAAACTCTGCACCCACATTTCTGCCACCTTCCAGGGGAATAGCCCAACTGCTCAGCATTGGCGGCATTTTTTTCTGCCAGAAGCCTAGCCCAGCATGACATGTGCATCCACGTAGGAGACTGTGGGCCCCAGCAGAGGCAGGGGTGAGGCCTGGCCCTGGTGCAGTCTTCCAGGTATAATCACAGTCCTGGGACTCCCTCAGGTACTCAGGGAGTCACCTCTGAGTCAAGCACTAAGGGAACCCTGAGCATGTGCACCTGCTTCATCCTGGTGGCTGAGTAGTTTTGTCAAAACCACATCTGCCAACAATATCAACTGCTACTGGTATTTGTCCAGTGCAGCTTCACATCACCCAGGGAAAGGGCAGAGCAGGAACAATGCCTTCCCAGCATGGATACCTCACCATGCAGACCAGAAGACCAGGTGAAGAGCATGTGTCTGGCCCAGATTAGCAACAGGAAGCTGGGGCTGGGGCTCCTTGTCACTTCTCAGGAGACTTGCTTCATCTCAGATATGAGACCTAGCTTCCTAAATGCAGGGACCATGGCTACCCACCACTCCATGCCTGCTGAGTACCATCCCCTCAGCCATCTGACTGCCCAGGCCCACACAGGTCCATGTCTGCGGCTCACCCAGCAGGGAC